TTCAGTCCATTGATCTGTCTGGTGTTGTCACCGTCATGTGACCCTGAAGAATGAACTTTTTAGTACAATTTCAAAACCGGCTGTTAAAGCCCCATTTCATCGCTCTTCTGAGAGATACTTTAGAATCAGCCTGCCTCCCTTGTGGGCCCAAATCCTATTAGGGTTTTGTTAATTTGTTAAATGTATAGGTTAAGGTAGGAAAAATTGACTTTTTTGGTGTGTTGTCTTATTTTTTTTTTAAACTTCTAGTGAAGGAAGTTCTATTTGTTTTGTATTTATTTTTTTCTATATTGACTTGAGAGAGAGAGGAAGGGAGAGGGAGAGATAGAAACATCAGTGAGAAAGAACATTGATTGGCCGCCTCCTGCATGCCCACCACTGGAGATTTGGCCCACAGCCTGGGCGTGTGTCCTGACCGGGAATCGAACCGGCGACCTCTTGGTGCGTGGGTTGACGCTCAGTCACTGAGCCACACCGGCCGGGTGTGTATTTTCTTCCTGAGATTGTGGTTTGTGTTTCAGTTTGTTCAGTTTCCTTGTCCACCCCTGCTGGGAGTCTCTTGTTTTCTTCACATAGATCCTGCACGTCTTGTTTACCCTTAGGCGTTTTATGGCTTTTCAGTGTTATTGTGAATAGATTATTTTCTTTCATTATAACTTCGAGTCTAACATTCTAACAAGTTATTTGTATTTGGACGGGCGATTGAGTTTGCTGTCTATTGATTTTTAAACAGCCAGCTCATTCTGGTTTTTCATTCGAGTCTCAAGTTTTTCAGGTTTATAATTGCATCCTGTGATTTTATTTCTCCGTGTTGAATCCTTCTAGTTAGCATTTTAATGTGCTTGTGATTTCAGAGCTTACAAAAGGAAACAGCCCCACTGACGGTCCCTTTCCTCTTTCTAGCCAAAATTCGTGAGAGGGTTTCTCCTGACTGTTCTCGCTTCCCCCCCGCACCCCACTCGCACGCTCACCTTCTGCAGCCTGGTTGCAGCCATCCCTGCTCGACCAAAATGAATCCTGGTGAGGTCTCTGGTGGCCTCCACGTCTCTAAATCCATTAGTCCCCCATCTCCCGTGACTTCTCGCCCCCTGGAAGGACTGGTGGCCACGCCCTTCTCATGGTGCCCGTCACCTCGCCCTCTTACGATTTCCTTCCTACAGCTTTGGCTGTTTCTTTTCATTCTCTTTGTTGTGTATTGCCCTCTGATTGCTCAATGTTAGAGCCTCATGTTTCCATATTTTACTCTCCACTTAGGTGATCTCACCTGTTTATTTTAATGGTCAACGATGTGCTCATGCCTACGAGATTGATCTCTCTAGACGAGGCCTTTCTCCTGCAGGCTGGGTTCATACAGCCAACCACCTCTTCAACGTTTCCCCTTGGATATCTCAACATCATCTTAAACTCAGCATGTCCAAGATTAAATTCCTGACATTTCTCCCCGAACCCTCCAATTTCCATCAGTGTACGGCATCGCCATCCAACCTGGAGCTGTCCTTCTCTGGTCCCTTCTCTCATCACGTTCCATCCTCAGACCACGTGGCTTTAACATTTCAGTAGATGCTGGATCATCCTCTTATCTGCTTTCCCACCACCAGCACCGTTCTGGGTCAAACTACCATCACATTTCACTGGACTCCATGAAGATCTATTATTATTGTGCTTATTATGACCCTTCATTGTCTTGCCCCTTCCCTTCCTCAAAGATAAAGACCAAAATCTTCGACATGATGTTACAGGATCTACCAATGAGGCCCCCCATCTTGTACTCTTACCTGCTGTTTACTTAGCTATAAACCATCTGGCTCTTGTAATGCATTAAAAACGCCGTAATTATTTTTCCTGGGGTTTTCTCACTTGCTGGCACTGGAGACCTTCATCCCCTCCCACCCCACCTCCACCTCTGGGTAGCTCTGCTTCGTCCCCCGCCTAGGAAAGCCCTCCCTCTTGCCGTAAACTAAGTTTGGTCTCTGTTAGGAGCTCTTTGCGCTCGCTGAGAGTTTCCTTCATATTGCTTATCAGGTTGTGGTTGCTTATTTGACAGGCTGTTTGAAATCTCTCTCCCCCAATGGACTGTAGGACTCGAGAGGACAGGGATACGTGCATATTTTGCGAATTCTTTATTCCTGATCTCCTTTTCCAGGACCTGGCATATAGTGGGTACTCAGAATATTTTGTGAATGATGTGTTTTGTTTTTTTTGTATAAAGAAAAATGTATTTTTCCTATTCATTTTGTAACCAACCATTTTGTGGAAATATCTTGGATCAGTTTGGGTTGTCAGAAAAGTGGATGCCACCACCATGGAATTACATATGCCAGAGATTTATTGGGAAATACCAGGAAGGGTGAGTGGGGCGGGGGCGGGGAGCAGGAGCGCCTTCAGGTGGTGATGCAGCTGTACCAGCAGCACCTAGCCAGCGCTTTCTTTCAGTTCTAGGGGCCAGTATTTCACTTACAAGTCTTGAATCAATCCTCATGCATGAGATGGTTTTTGTTTGCGGGTGTTTTCTCTTTCCTAGGCTCTCATCATCCAGGTTTCATTAAAAACAAATGTTTCTTCTTTCCCTGGACTCTGTTCCAGAGATTTGAAAGAACCGATCTATGAAAGTACCTCCCGGCACTTCTGAGGATGTACTTCTCTAGTCCCTCCTAGTGGTGTGTTCCTTAATAGTTACACTTCTAAAAAAATAATAATAATAATTTAAGCCCTGGCCGGTTTGGCTCAGCGGTTAGAGCGTCGGCCTGCGGTCCGGAGAGACCCGGGTTCGGTTCCCGCTAAGGGCACGTACCTCGGTTGCAGTTTGTCCCCGGCCCTGGTTGGTCGTGCGGGTGGCAGCCACTCGATGTGTCCCTTCACGTCGATGTTTCTCTCTCTCTCTCCCTTCCTCTCTCTCCCTCCCACTCTATCTGTACAAAAAATGGAAAAATACCCTCGGGTGAGGATAAAAAAAAAAATAGTTACACTTCTCATGTCTTATACATTTCTTAAGTTTAATCCTAAGCGTTTTATTTTTGTTTCCATTAGCTGTGTCCCACAAACTTAATATTGTTTTACTTTCATTACATTCAATGTATTTTTTTAGTTTTATTTTTGAGACTTTCTTGACCCACAGTTTAAACGTTTTTGGAGATTTTGCTGTTATCTTTGTTAGTTAGAGTTTGATACCATTTTAGTCAGAGGACCCATTCTATAATTTTAGTTCTTTAAAATCTTTTGAGGTACATTTTATGGCCCAGGATATGGTCTATTTGGTGAATGTTCCACAGGCTAGAAAAGAATGTATATTATTGTTTTTTGGTGGTGTGTTCTATATCAACTAGATTCTGGTGGCTGTTGAAATTATACAAAATAAGCAGGTGTGTGTGTGTGTATCCATTGCTGAGAGAGGTGCACTGAAGTCTCCAACTGTATGTGGATTTATCCGTTTCTCCTTTCATTCAGTTTTTACTGAATGCATTTTGAGGCTCTGTTGTCTGGTGCAGAAACCACTAAGATTGTTGTCTAGTTGGACTGAAACTTTTATTAGGTAATATATCCTTTTGGTCCCTAGTCTAGGCTGATTTTCAGAAGTAGAGATGATCAGATCTTTGTGATGCAGTGAATCTGGAGTGGGGCTCAAGACCTGCATTTTAACAGACTTCCCAGACAACTTTATAACCAGGTGTAACTCAGAATTCTCGCTTGCAAACAGAAATTGACTATGGTTAACTTAGAAAGGAACTCGGTGGAAGAACACCCAGTAATACCCACTGGACTGCTAGGAAGCAGAGCCCTGTACCCCCACAGGGAAGCCAAAGCAGTTGTTCTCCGGACCCCAGCTGGTTGAGCAGTTTATGAGCTAAGCCCAACACATTAGGGGTCCCACCACCTAGGACTTTGAATCTGGTGCAAAGGATATGAGGTGGGGATAATTTAAAATTCTTTAGTCGGTGGCAAGAATTTTGATGTCAGTAATAAAAGGGGCAACAATGGCAGTTTAGACACGCGTGTAACTACGGCGTGATTTGGTCACAATTCAGGCAGTCTGGTCTCTTGGTTTCTGCACCTTTTCCGAGCCTGGTTTCCCAGCCTTATAGATGGATGTATATATACACACATAGTTATACAAGTCCTGTTTTGGGAAAGTTGTATGTACTTTTTTGGGGGGAAATAAAGTCAGAAATGGAACCTATTACTTGCTAAGCCAATTACAAAATAATGAGGGTAATAGAATGGGTTCTATTCATGCCAAGTGGAATTATTTATGGTCCCGGAAGGCAGCAGGCCTAATGCAGAGGATGGACTCTGATGCGACTTTGGACAAGCGTCTCTTAGCTGACTCGAGGCTCATCTGTCAAGTCGGGAGGTCGGACTTGACCAGTTTCCAGGCCTCTCCAAGTTGCAATATTCTAGGACTCTGAGTCTAGAGCCTTCTGTTCCTTGGCTACTTCAGTTCATTTTTGTGAAGTTAGTTGACAGCTACCAGGTGCTTGGCTTGTTGCTAACTTTGGGCACATCCTGCAGAAACTGACGCGTGAGATGGAGTGCCGAACTTGGCATTGCTAGGGTGCGAGGATGCAGACCGCAGGACGTGCGCAGAGTGGCAGAAATCCATTCTTACCCAATAGCTTTGCTTGTCACACATGAAGTGAAAGAAACATAATGAACAAGATGTTATCTTTTCAGAAAGACCCTGAGATTTTGTTTCTCCCAGTCACCCTGTCAGACTGAAGAGGGGAAATGGATGTTTGGCAGAGGGGTGCACTGAATGAGGGTTAGAAGCTAAGCACGCTGAATTGGTGCCCCGGTTTGCTCCGGAGGCCTGGGGGGCGGGTGCGGACAAGTCTAAGCTGGCCAGTGCGTGACCCCAGTCCCAGGTCGTAGAGGGACCCACAGCATGCCCACAACAGCACAACCTAGACCGGCCACCAAGAATCTTCACTTGTGACCCCCCTTTGAAGTAAGGGTCAGTTTAGAAGTGACAGGCACAATAAGTTGTCATTCCTTATGACTTGCAGGTTCTCATGAGCGCATCATTGCTGGGGGCCCTGTGTCTTTTTTCCTCAGTCTGTGTTATATGTGCCATTTCTGCATTTACTCTCCCCATTGAGACCAAAGGCCGGGCCCTACAGGTAAGTCTATGTACTCTCAACCACCACCTTTAGACCAAAGCTAATGAACTCGGGAGTATGAAAATCCTTTTAAGCAGACAGGATGATATTCGCGTGCTAACCCTGATACTTGTTTAGTGTGTCCGATAGGAAAACTGGGTATCGTTTTCCCGCATGTAACTTGGAGCAGCACTAGTTAAAGTAGCTGATCACCCACTTCAAACCGCTGCTTCCTGTAAAAGTTAGAGCTGGATTCAGACACCGGGTGAAGGACAGCTGTCGAGGCCTCAGCATTCTGGCTGTCCCCCTTTTCCATCCGGATGCAAGCATTGCTGCAGAAGTCAAGGTGGCCAGAGCAGCAGCAGTCGCTGTCTGTGTTGCCTTCACAGTGACAGCATATTTACACACTAGTCCAGCTGCCTTTCCCCTACTACTGGCCGCCCGTGGTGAGAGTCAAGGTTCAGCAGCACCAGCTGCCATCCATGCAGCACTCTGACCAGTCCGTAGACGCTACTGACTGCGCAATGCATTTTGCCAAGCACATTAAAAAACAAAATAAAACAATGCCCCAAAGTGTAAGGTATGCTCCCACGGGCAAAGCTGTAGGAGACAGGGCCTCTCCTACCCTTGCGCCCTCATCAAAGTATGGGTGGTGGCACTGATGTTTTCCTGCCTTAACCACACAGCTTGTTGCTGGAACACAAGGTGTGCGCATGTGAGCACGTGGCGGGAGGGGAGCGCGCGTGGCGGGAGGGGAGCGCGCGTGGCGGGAGGGGAGCGCGCGTGGCGGGAGGGGAGCGCGCGTGGCGGGAGGGGAGCGCGCGTGGCGGGAGGGGAGCGCGGTTGGGTTGATCTTGAGCTGCTGCCCCTAAACGAGGCTGCTCAGAGTCATGCTGCTTCTCTGGCTGAACATGACTCGCTCTCTGTCCTAGTACACTAGACACACGTTAGTACTGGTGTTGGTACTGATGCATTTTGTCTGTGAGTAGATACAAGGCAGGAACTTTTGAGTAAAGGAAAACACACACCACTCTTGAATTTCTTCCTAGGTCCAGAATATGCCCTAGCTTATCATTAAGGTAACACATTCATTGAATACCTAAAGCTAGAGACTAAATTTGATTCATATGATTCTTTTAAATCTTATAGAAAGGGATTAACTGATGCTTCACACAAATGAAGAAACCAAGGCTAAATTGAGTGACTCGTATAAAGAAACATGCCAGTATCTAGGAGGACTGGAATTTAAAAGAGAGTCCAAAATTAAGTGATGCTAAATCTTACTACTTAATAAGCATAGAAAATTAGATTAACACTACACATAAAAGAAAACCAGGTTCACCATCTAATGTGCTCTATGGATTTCCAATTAAAGTCACATCCACTTAAAAAAGGACCATTCCCACCCTGGCCGGTTTGGCTCAGTGGTTAGAGCGTCGGACTTTGGACCGTAGAGTCCCGGGTTCGGTTCCCGCTAAGGGCATGTACCTTGGTTGCAGTTTGTCTCTGGCCCTGGTTGGGGTCATGTGGGTGGCAACCACTCTATGCGTCTCTCTCACATTGATGATTTTCTCTCTCTCTTCCTCCCTTTCTCCCCCGCACTCTATTTGAAGATAAATGCAAAAATGTCCTCGGGTGAGGATAAAAAAAAAAAAAAGGACCATTCCCTCTTCTGTTGACTGAAACTTGATTTTAGCATTGTGGTGGAATCATTTTATGTTTATAAGTCATTAAAAAAATTGATTTTAGAGAAACATCGATTGAACCTGCCACCTTTTGGCTCCAACCTACTGAGCCACAGTAGCCAGGGCTGAAAGCCTATGTAATATAACTTCCTCACAACTTTTACATGTATGTTCAATAAATACAATTGGGCACATAAAGCCATTGAGTGGCTGTATGTAAGACCCTAGAACGTTTTTTTAAAAAAGGAGAAATCTTGCCCTGGCCAATTTGGTTCAGCGGTTAGAGCGTCAGTCTGCGGTCCGGAGAGACCCGGGTTCGGTTCCCGCTAAAGGCATGTACTTCGGTTGCCGTTTGTCCCCGGCCCTGGTTGGTCGTGCGGGTGGCAGCCACTCGATGTGTCCCTTCACGTCGATGTTTCTCTCTCTCTCTCTCCCTCTCTCTCCCTCCCACTCTATCTGTACAAAAAATGGAAAAAATATCCTCGGGTGAGGATAAAAAAATAAATAAATAAATAAAAAAGGAGAAATCTTAAAAGATGTTTATCTTGCAGTCTCGTGAGCACTTAATGTATGAAACAATCTAGTGACTCTCACAAAAACTAGAAATATTTAAAACGTGGCAAAAACGTTAACTTCCAATAACAATCTGACTGGATGAACTACCCTGGTTAATAGTTTAATAGCAGTAATTTTACTTTAGAAGTATTCATTTTGATGAGCCTCATAAACTAAAAAATAAACTGCTGAAAGAGGATGTTTATAACGTGATTCCTTCTGAATGATCGCTGTACTGCACTAGAATAACCGGATTTTATAGTAACCACTGTGTCAGGAACACAGGTACATTCCTGTCAAGTTTATTAAAGAGCCTTCTATATCACTAGCTTCTGGTGCCAGACAGCTGAGCAGCAACAGGGAGAAGACTTTCTTTAAATATACTGATCTATTAAATAATTTATGTTTTCCAGCAAATAAAATGAAGACATGAAATCTGTCTACCAAAGAAGAAAAACTCATTTTATCTTCACCAAGAGCTGTGGTACAATTTTAAAAACCGGATTTCATTTCTGTATGTTACTTAAAATTAAGAAACTGATTAAACAAAGTAAGGCACACAAGAATTTGTGGGTTGACTGCATACTGATCTCTTCCCTAAGAGCCAATATCCATGGAACTTGCATGAAACATACTTTTAAAACTGCAAAGGTGTGTCTGTGGGAGAGGACTTTTCTTCCTTGACATCGCCTCTTAACCTTGAGGTAATTCATCCTCAGACAAAACACACATATACTTTATAGACTCCCCTGAGGTCTACAGCCCAAGTTAGGCAGAAATTTTGTAGTTAGGACAAGAACTTGCGATGGTATCATTAAGGCTTTCAAATTAGTCATAACATTTACAATATAAATGAGCATATTTACTAAAATTGTGGCTTCCAGAGTTTATTAATGAAACTTAACTTATTCACAAAACAATATGCTTCCAGTAGTATGAGTCTTGTATATAATCACGCAGTCAGGAACAGACTAATCTTCCCCATTCACTGTTTCCGCTCTAATCTCACAAATTCACAGGGGAATCCGATTCCCGAGAGAACAGATGCAGAAGCAGCAAGCTTGCCTGCGCCACGGAGCTGTCCGTCGGCCCTTGCTGCGCAGCACGGCGCCTGCGGTTTTTACAGTCTGTCTGTCTGATTCCTGTTCAGACTTACGCTGCAGCCCTGCGATCAGGGCCCTGCGGCTCGGCTCACCTGCTCCTCTCTCGGCCATGGCGCAGCCACGGAAGGGTCCCTGCACTAGCAACCCGTGCAGGAGAGGGTCTGGAGCCCTGCTTCCACAGGGTGCAGACCATTCCGACTGCAACCACAGGCACACTGGCTGTAAGTGAGGAGTCTTTCTGTACAGGGCCGGACGGCAAATATTTTAGGCTTGGGGAACTACATATGATCTGTTGCTTTGTTCCCTCCACAAGCCTTTAAAAATGCAAAAAACATTGTGAGCTCTGAGGCTGTGTAAAAGCAAGCCGTAGGCTGAATGTTGTTGAAATCAATTTCTAGGCACAAGATGAAGGCTGGTCCTGCCTGGGGCCACAGCAGAAAACCAGACGCTAGTGGGAACTCTCGGGCGCCTGTGAAGGCTCTGCGCGACCAGAAACGCGTTGTGACTAGCCAGCCACACACCAAGCCAACCGTGGGCGCTATACTTTCTTGTTCCTTATTCTTTAGCCTTTAAAAGCTTTCTGCTCGAGTCACCTAACTTGTCTTCTTTAAACAGGTTTGGTGACAGGGTGGAAGCTGACTGCTAACGGCCTGCGGGACAAGACAGGTGAGGAGCCGGCTGAACGCTTTGAGTTCACTGTTCCTCTTGTCACAGCCAAGGGCCGTTGGTAAGTCACCCTCGCACTGGAGCTCCACTCCCTTGTGTGTAGCTCTCCAATCTAAACACTTCATTTAAAACATACATTGTCCCGGAAAGGTTCCAGAGCAGTTATGTTGGTAGCTGTGAGGGAAGCCCACAGCATCAACTGCACTGCCGGGAGGGAGACTGGGGAACTCAATTGAGATTTTTTTAACCAACGGCACAACAAAATCAAAACAGGCATAAGCCAGACCATTAAAAGCCACTAGGGTGTCTGGCACTATAAAACAAATCTTCTCAGGAAAGGAGTGCTAATAGGAATCTCAGAATAAAAGGTCAAACACGTGCAACACGTCAGAGCACCTGCCCCTCAATCGGAGCCTTCCGTGCGAGGGTGAGTTGGCCATGGAACAGATTAGGTGGAAATCAGTTTCCCTGCCCACCTCAAAAATTCCATGCGACAAGGTCCACTGTAAACTGCCACCCACCCCAAACCAGCAGCACATCCCTCTTCGGTATTCACTGGGCTCTAAGAAACTCAGGGTCATTAGCTAAGAAAATGAGATCAAGTTTTAAAGAACTGAGTGTTCTGCTTTCTGACATACCTGCTTATTTTGTCTCAGAACTGTGGTCCTGGAAGCTGTAGATATCTATAAAAATAGCAAAATCTTACTACAACAACCTAAAATGACAATGGCCATTATGGTGAGTGTTCCTGTTACATAAGAGCACTCACTTATGAAGTGCACCTGAAAGTAAAGGTTTCTAGATCAACAACCAGAATGGGCCCTGGCCAGTTTGGCTCAGCGGTTAGAGCGTCGGCCTGCGGTCCGGAGAGACCCGGGTTCGGTTCCCGCTAAGGGCACATACTTCGGTTGCAGTTTGTCCCCGGCCCTGGTTGGTCATGCGGGTGGCAGCCACTCGATGTGTCCCTTCACGTCAATGTTTCTCTCTCTCTCTCTCCCTTCCTCTCTCTCCCTCCCACTCTATCTGTACAAAAAATGGAAAAATATCCTCGGGTGAGGATAAAAAACAAACAAACAAAAAAACAACCAGAATGGAATGCTTATTTATTTTTTTTATCCTCACCCAAGGACATTTTTGCATTTATCTTTGGACAGAGCGGGAGGGAGGAAGAGAGAGAGAGAGAAACATCAATGTGAAAGAGACATGTCGACTGGCTGCCACCCACATGACCCCAACCAGGGCCGGGGACAAACTGCAACCCAGGTACGTGCCCTTAGCGGGAACCGAACCCGGGACTCTCTGGTCTGCAGGCCAACGCTCTAACCGCTGAGTCAACCTGGCCAGGGCCCTGGAATGCTTATTTTTAATTGGTGTGCAGGAGAACCCCAGTCCAAATGATTCAAAGTTCCAAAATAGCTTCATTGAAAGATTCACTACAAAAAGCTAAATGAAAAATTAAAGACACAAGTACTTACAACAAGACTGATGTGACCCCTTCTACTCCCCTCTATCCTCCTTTACGTGACTACTCAGAGTCTACTAATACTCTATCTGAATCTTTTTTCCACTCTGAAGATCATGAGCAAAAGTCCACCAAGTTAGTGGCCCTGCAACAGTCCCAAAGCCAACATCAAAATAGTGGCCTTAAAATCGGCATCTCATTTGCAATCAACTTGGACACTGGGAAAAAGTGTCCATGAAGGTTCGGTCAAATCCTTCCCTACCACCTTCAACACTCCCATATCTACTCTCAAAGGATGGCCCCCATATGGGCTCACCTTAAAACCGATGTGACTCCCTTAAACAGCCAAGGGGAAACTAAAAGGAAAACCTTGCCAAATTCTGCCTGATATCAGAGCTACACCCTCTACTCTGAACTCGACTCATTACGGAGCCTGCAAATGGGATGCTGGGACATGGGAATCCTGGCCCAGAGAAACTCTCCAAACCGCGAGCATTAATTATTGCTACCAAATACACTGTGTTCTCTCAAAAGTTTTAAATAATGTGGTTGGCCACTGACCAGCCAACAGACCACCTCTCTTCAATTGGACCTACAAAAGAGAACTGAAGAACATACCAGCTCTGGCAATACTAGCTTGGCATTGTCTCCTCTAAATACCTGATGAGGCAATAACTGAAGGACACACTATTAAAAAAATAAATAAATCAAACCTCTTGAATGGCCAAAAAAGGGAAGTGGGGACACAATAAATTCTAGGTCCAAGATAAGGTCCCTTCTGCCTGGGGTGCCACATCAGCAAAACAAAAAAGTTAACTTTTGTGTCCCTGGAAATTCTCCACTTGGCCAGAAATGCACTATAACCAGCGATCAGTCCCAAGATGCCAAGCCAACTCTGGGCCTCCAACTTATTTCCCTGTTGCTTATTCTTTATCCTATAAAAGCGTCCTACCTTCTGCCCCATGTTGCACTTCTCTGGATCCTTGGGGATGTAGACTGCCTGCTTCAGCGTTAAATAAAGTTTGTTTTTATCACTAAAGTGTCTTAATCATTTTTAAGATACCGCAGACTCACATTAATGTACTTACTAGAAAATTTTAGGCTGAAGTACCTTTTTTTTATCCTCACCTGAGGGCATTTTTTTGCATTTATCTTCAGATAGAACGGGAGGGGGAGAGGGGGAGAGAGAGAGAGAAACATCGATGTGAGAGAGACGCATCGACTCTCTGCCACCCACACAACCCCAACCAGGGCCGGGGACAAACTGCAACCAAGGTAAATGCCCTTAGCGGGAACCGAACTCGAGTCTCTCTGGTCTGCAAGCCGATGCTCCAACGGCTGAGCCAAACCGGCCAGGACTAGGCTGAAGTATCTCTGATGGAAGATTGTCTCAGCTACACCTGTAGGGTCAGCTAGACAACCTACCACAAATCATAATTGAAAATCCCAATGCTGATTCTGGTTAAGATGGAGCAGGTAAATGCTGTGCTCACCTCTTCCCATAACATTAAAACTACAACTCAATTATAGAGCAATCGTCAATGAGAACCACCCGAGGACTAGCTGAACAGAAGTCCTATAACTAAGGCTATGAAGCAGCAGCCAGGATGAGACTGGCAGGAGGAGCAGACACAGAACAGGCAAGTCCAAAACACATGCAGTGGCAGTTAAGAATCGGGAGGGATGCTCCTCAGATGTAGTTGCAGCCAGTCCTCTCAGCTGACTGGCCTGGGGGTAAATCCCTCCCATTGACATGCCAACAGCAATCAAGGTTCACCTAAAACAAGAGGGTGCACAGAGCCTACATGGGAGTACACTTGGAGCACCCAGCTCAGGTGACCAGGGAGGCTGCTCCTACAGGACACCTACTTACGTAAGACCACTCAAGTAAGACGGGGAGGCGTTATCACTTCTACCTAATACATAGAAACTAACACAAGAAGGCAGTCAAAATGAGACAAAGAAACATGTCCCAAATGTAACATAACAAAACTCCAGAAAAAGAACTAAACAAAATGGAGACAAGCAATCTACCAAACACAGAGTTCAAAACACTGGTTATAAGGTTGTTCAATGATCTTAGAGGAGTAGAGGAACTTAATGAGAACCTCAACAAAGAGATGGGGGGGAAAAACAGTCAGAAATGAAGACTACATAGAGGGGAACAGCAGAGGATTGAATTAGTGAGGTGCAAAATAAGGTAGCAGAAAACACCCAACTGGAACTTGAGAATAGTTTAAGGGACATCTGGGACAACAGCAAATGTACCAACATTTGCATCATAGGGGAAGCAGAAGGAGAAAAGAGCCAGCAAGGGACTTT